CAAGGACCTTCGAGGAGAGTTTTAGGCACTAATCGGCACAGTAATATTGTTTGACGAAAACTTTCAACTGAATACATGCAGTTCATAAATGTTTCTGCACAAACCTGTCGAGGCAGCTGTATCCGACACAAGAAAAAGTAATTTGGATTAAATAGAAACCACATTGCAGGAATATACATGCATCAATTGTCCGTCTGTTGTCCATACCGCCTGTCCTGTGTGGGGTTGCAGGGGCTGGAGTCCATCATTGCTGACATTGAGCGAGAGGCGGGGTAGACCCTTCACAGGTCACCAGACAATCACAGGACTGACATACAGAGACGGACAAACTTTCACACTCACACTCACACCTACAGGCAATTCACAGTCACAAATTAACCTAACGAGCATTGTCTTTGGACTGTGAAAGGAAACTAGAGTACCCGGACGGCAACCCACGCATGCTCAGGGAGAACAGGCCCTGCAGCGCTAACCACTGCACCACCATGCTTACAACTGCACCACCATGCAGCCCATGTTAAGGAATATATCAAACTAATCATCTGCCCTTCATAGCGTTTCAAACAGCCGTGTTTAAAATCGAATCAGCAATCTCATAACAACGTCACAACTTTCTGGGGAAACCCTGATCCGACAACTGTTTTTTTCTTCTATAGTTTTATTTCTCACACAGTTGCAACATTGTTTCTGCTATGGCTCATTTGTTTTCTTTCAACTGCAAGACAGTCATCACAGTTATATTCCTACATTAGCGCTCACTTGCCTCCGCAAACAGTTGTGATGTGGATTACTTTCTCCATTTACCTTCTTGATTGGCTACGTTATAAATTCATATTTCACAAGTCATTTTTTCCAGTTCTACAGACATTTGACTGAAAGTCACCTCATTTCTGTTTCTTTAGTTCAGTGAGTGTTTGAACATTTTGTAGTTTGATGCTTTGGCAAAACTGTTTATGAAACCTTTTCATCAATAATGTCATTTTTCAGCATGTTGTACAAGCCTCATCATATTTCACTGAGGTACAGACTTTTGTTCAGTAGTGTGATGCTAACTACCTTGTTGTAAATGTAATTAAAACAGGAAATGGTGCTGGATCCTCGGATCTGTAGGAGATCACACCCCTGTTTTTATCCATAACAAAATAATCAACCAGGTTAGCTATACGGGATGTCAAGCGTGGTACGGTAATCTCTGTGTTCAGTTAAAATCGAGGCTTTCTTTTCTGGTGCAGACTGCCATGAAGGTGATGGAGGTTTTTGCAGATCTTGTGCAATGTATGTTGTGTTGTCATGTGGATGGATGTGTTTTTTTATTGTTAAGCTGCTGAATGTTCGACAGCACAGTGAGTTCAAGACAAATTTCCCCAAAGGGGACAATAAGGTGTATCGTTATGTATCAAATCATATTTTTACATTTTTTAGTCCAAATATGTCAGTTGGAATGAAATATGGGAACACTTAATGTGTAATAAAACAGAGTCTATGTTCAGCTGTAGGGAATACTTTTGGGAACATTTGCTGATTTCTTTTCTTAAATTATTGTTTCACCGTTTCACCATCTGCCTTTTAATTCCAAGCCTGCAAAATCATGTGTGACCTAATCTTACCTTACTCTCGTTTTCTGTTTACTTTCTATGACCCAAGTCTCTCAGTGTCCCTCTCTTGCTACAGATTCTCTCTCTTATTTATTGGTTAGATTGTTTTCTTTATCGTTCAGTCCTCCTTCACCTACAACCATGAGCATAAATGCACATACTCAATAAGTACCTTCTGTTACTGTGCAGTGAGGCACAAAGCTCAGAACTACTCTGAACTCCTTTATCACAATACGCCGCGTAGACGTGGCTTCCTTTCCAAACCACAATAACAGATAGCCTATCACTGCTGTGTTTCTCTGAACGCAATGTTCCAAAAACAGAGTTTAATTCACTGCTGCTCTCGTATAGACAGACACAGCTTGTTGATTGTTCAGCTGAAGAAACAAAGTTGTAAACGTCCCTGCCTCTATGACGGCTGCAGCATGTGCAAACATCTGATTGTCCTACATGGAAATATAACTTCACGCTCTTCCTGGTATACTGGGTCATCTGTTTTAATGCTTTAGCTTTTCCCATTGGCACCACTATATATAGCAACCCTTTAATCGGGCATCAGAAAGGTCATAAACCTACTTTTATATTTCTAAATGAAACTAGATCTAGAAATAAGGAGTTACTATTGCTGTGTAAATACAATACCATGAAAGTGGTAATTCTTTTTTTTTTTTAGTACATAAGAGTTTAAAATGTGTTTGAATAACTGGAAAAACATTGAGGAGCTCTGACACAGTGAGACAGATGATGTTATTAGCAGTGCTTGAAATGTTTGTTTTTTCAATTAAATGTTTTTTTATGTTGGTGTTAATTCTTCTTGAAATAACTTGTAAGTATGAATAAAAGAACAATAATACTACAGGTAAAATGTTACATAAGCAACAAAAGATGTATCACAAATCGGACTGGATCAATTGATATAAAGTTGCTGTAAATCTTGCCTTATTATGTGACCCAGATGTGACCAATTGCTCAAAGGTAACCAGAAGGACATTAGGTCCTGCTAATTCTGTCCATGATGGTCATCCATAATGTTCCTACCATTATTTTAATGACCACTCTTCGTGATCCCTGACTTCCACAGACTATTTTTGGCATCTACCTTTGTTAAAACAATCTTATCATCCTTATAGCTTATATCATGATGTAAATGTCCATTACTGCGTCTTGTTAAGCCAAAATGAGTTGTCAACCTAAGCTCATTCTGCACAGAGGGACGTCTATAATGAGGGCAGTCCACATAGAGAGCTGTCCTCGGATAACCTGCTATCATGTTCCTAATCCTCCTCCAGCTCAAACACACACCCACACATATTCTCATACCGTATGTACACACACTATCTACATAAGGCGGGGTAAACTTTCACTCAAAGTGGCATGCAGACTTGTAATGGTCTTAAACACCATCTCAATTCTGCGAAGTCCAACAGACATAAGAAATCCAAGAACAACAAATGATGGGCTATAAATCATGTGTGAGTTCTGCCAGGCAAGCTGGCCCATGTCCAGCCCATCCCTGGTTGAAAAACCTGTATCTGAACTACAACTTCTTCAAAAGTATTGCATGACATCTGTTTTCCCTTGAGCTTGAACTTTTTGAAGATGATGCACTCCTCAACTGACATGCAAACGTGTCTCGTAGTGTAGCTCAACACTGCCTCTGGCAACTCTCTACCATGCCATATTACATGTCAATTTGAAAGTACAACGTGGATTTTGATTGTGATTTGATTTGTTTTGACATGCACAATTGTTCCTCTGATCCAAGTCATGCAGAGCTCTTTAATGCCAATGCCCCTGAGAAAGTCTCTTGATAAGACCTGGCTCCTATGACACCCTTCACTGCCATGAAATTAAATCCTTTCTAATCACACACACACACGCAACAAACACAAGCTAATTTATCCTCTGATGACGCTTGCTAATCATATGTTGTCCTTATGAAACAATATCCTTCTAGAAGTTAAATATTTTCCAGTCATGACAGTATATCAATTAATATGATGACAGCTTCCTCTTTAAAAATGCACATAAAAGCAAGTCTAACTTTTTACTCCAGTTGTTAGGCTGTTCTTCCTGTTAGGCTACACACGTAAAAGAAATCCTAGAAAACAGACAGGTGAACAGGAGCGCTGTCCTGCAACCCAGTATGACCTCGCGACATGTGGACGTGTATGAATATACATGAGACTTGGTAACAGTTCAGAGATGGCATAAGAGCGAGATAGATAGATCTATTATTAGCCAGGTTGTCATCACGTCCTCAGATGACCTTCCAGACTTCTGTTCTGTGAAGTCGGCCTTGTGACTCTCGGTGGTGTATCAGAATTTCAGCTCTGGTGTCTGGTGTAACTCTTAATCTGACAGGTGGACAGATAAATTACTGTCTGACTCTGCAAAAGTACAATCAGCAAAAAAATAAAAAACTAGCTACAAGGAACTTCATAGAGTCACAATGCACTGCGAAAGGAAAAAAACAACACTAACAATCTATGAAAAAGTCAAGATTAAAACCGTCTAGGAAAGACATTTTGAGCTTTAGCTGACAGTAGAAACTTGCTCTATTAATGAACTTTCAAATGGCCCACAGGAGAATATCTCACTAACTAACTTAACAAAAGTTACTTCAATGGTCAGATAAGATAACATCTTAAGGGGAAGGTTAATTTCTGTCCTCCTTTGTTGCTTTACATGCTTAACGTATTCAATCTTTTATGGAACTATGGGAGTCGGTTGATGCAAGCTTGTGTTTGAACTGCAGCACCTTCAACAACTATTCCACAGAAATGTTTTCTGCTCACACATGCTCTGCCGAGTGTGGTTAATTAAACTGCAGAGGATAATACTGTGCTTAATGCTGTCCTGAGAACAACATTTCCTCTCGATAACATCCATCAAGAACACAAGCTCCTTAGGCTAAACACAACTTATTATCAGAGGGAGGGAGGAAGGATGCTGGTTGCCAAACAACATTTCCCAGCATGCCGCTATAGCACTGTTTAATGAGACTGCAGGGAGCTCGTACTCGTAAGTAGACGATACAGGTCACCGTGACATTGAGGAGCTGAATCTCAGGTCAAAACACCCACAGGAAGGACTGCATTAAACTGATTGCAACTTTCAAATGTGCTACTTCAGGTCAGTACTGAGTGCTCAGGGTTCTGACATTTTACAGATGAACTGAGCTTTTCAAAAGATAAACCGTTATGTTGTTGGAGATTTTGTTTTTTCGCTTGCAGGTTTTTTGGTTTTAGTACTTCTACCAAATGGACGTCTGCAAATGTCACAACTTCAAACTCGGTCTTATGTCATCATGTGAAAAGTTGAAATTATAAATGGAGTATTTGTGGTATCATTTCATCTTTGTGTCAAAACATGGCATAAAATTCCACTCTTTCAACCACTTACCTCATAGCTCTCAAAGCTGGTGTGTCCCATGGTCAATGTTGGGGCCCCGGGCAGTGCAGGGGCCCTCCTCTTCTTAGTGTCGGCCTTTGGGGACATCCGGAGAATGTTAGTAACTGACTGAGACTGGCCCAAAGTGCTGGGCCGATCTCCTACTACTCCTGGAACAGTGGACAGACCCTGAGAGAGATGGAAATAAAACAGAGAAAGTGAGGTAATATAATAGAATGATAGAGAACAATGAGAGATTAGAAGCTGTTTCTAAGGAAGTCAGACACATGACCTCTGAGTCATAGGTGTATAAATTGATCATTTTGACATTGAACCTCACATGGCTGAGCATCAGCAGCTGTTTGAAGCGTCAAGCCTCTTAATAAGAAACTGTAATCAGGACTATATTCTCCTTTGAACCAAATGTATTAGCAAACAGTTACATAACAGGATATTCTGCCTTTTAACCAACATAAAACTGTTGTACATGACAGTATGTGTATTCATATGACAAGCAGTGTTTATCTCTTTAAAACAATCTACTTTATATTTACACAAGCTTGAAACAGATCTCCACTCTCGTCAGAGTTTCTTCGTTTCAAACTAAACGTATACATACAGTACTTATGCAATCAAAGCAGTTCAGGATATACATTTCATTTTTCAGTCTCAACAATTATCTCTGCATCTACTTGACCAAGTTCAAGTGCAACCACTGCAATTTAAAAAGGGTGGCTGCTCCTGACTAAAACATTGGAACAGAAATTGTTTTCAATATCTGATCAAAGAGAGCCCAAAGTGCTCCTGAAAATCGGAATCTCCCCGTGGCTCAGCTTGGTACGGAAACCAACCACTCACACCCCCACGGTTTAAAAAAAGAAAAAGAAAGAGTGTTTGAAAGCAGATTAATTGATGGGTTCAGACAATGCCTGGTCAAGAATTAAAGCAGAGCAAAAAGGGCCGTAAGGTGCAGGTCATTAGAATTAATTGGACCCGGGGTTTGAACATCTCAGCTGGGAGGTTGGGAAATAGTCTTTGAGTAGAGAAGTACAGCAGGAATGTCTGCAGTTTCTTTTACATGTGTAAACAGTGTTTTGAATGCTGATGTTATTTGATTCTCACAAGATGCCAAATAATATTTGATTAAGGAATCTTTTTTGCCTCACACTGACCCTATACAGATGGAAATATAGGAAACATTTGTACTAGTTTTGCTTTAGAGGAAAACAAACCTTCCTAAACCACCTTCCTTCTACATCTTGAATGTAAGCACTACTGAAAATTTTAACTAACATTTAAAAATTGTCAAAATTATATCAAGAACAGATTGTGTCTTAAACCGAGGTTACAACCAGTTTATCAGTGATAAACACATTCACAGAGTTAGACCTAACCCATATTCCAGCAGAAATAAAGTATGAGCTAGAAAAAACACTGATTTAGTAATTTTTTTGTTACTCTGCTGAGCTGGGTGGATAGCAGATGGAGGCTGACAGAACAAAGAAGAGATGTTCGCAGTGAAGGACTGATGTTATTTCCATTTGGAACCCTTAAAAAAAACAGCATGTTTTCACCTAACCAAAATATAATGTTCAAAGCAGCAAATTCACATGAACTCTGTCTGACTCTTCTCTACTCCCCTCCTTCTGGGAAACAATCTGAAATATGTCAAAACAGTGAAAATGGGGAACGGGGAAAGACTGTACTGCAGCACCTTAACTTAAATGTCCGTTTGATTACAAAGGTCATGACCTAACAGGAGAATATTAAACATATGAATGAACAGCCTATTAGTGCTTAAAGGACTGATCCTACAAAACTACACATGCAAATGTAGAGAAAACACAGTACAGTACTTATTCTAGTTGAATCCTGCTACACCTGCCTAGAACAAGGAGAAGTTTAAGTTATTGACAGCAAATGAAATCCTTTCAGTTTATTCTATAAACTGTATTTAGACGACCTTCCGTGCAGGAAACCTTTGACGTTCAAAATAAAGGAAATATCAGAATTTTTGGGTGAATGACAAGAGACTTAGATGAACTTAACACTGATCTGAAAGGCAGTGTTTCGCTGCCCTCTCTGGTTAAGAGTTTTGTTTCTGTGTAATCTCTGATCACACCAGGCATCACTACTGGTCAGACATGGTCAGAATAATGGACTTTTGGACATTTTAACCACACACAACAGTGATGTCATGAGCTGTGTACAGGCTCAGCAATTGTGCTCATAAAATTTTTGTAAAGGGAATCTAGCCGAGCAGAATTCTGACAATTAAAACACCCCGCAGTATCACCATCACAGACATCAATTCCTCTGCGTGTATTAACACCTTTTAATAGGTGTTATTTCACTCTTTAAAATCAGGGGTCCGATTCGTGAAAAATCAAATGACACTACTGTCAAAACTAAAAGATGCTCCACAGTATCTTATTTAAGGGAATTATTCATACCACTGGGAATCCCAAACCACCAATGCTTGTAATAAATGTATTGTGCAATCATGTTTATGGTTTATGGATAAAAAGTACATAAAACAAAAACATGCACATCGTCCATACTTTTAGTCAGTGTGTTTCAGTTTCAGTTCTGATTGATGCTTTCAGAGCATGTTACTGGTATTTTTTTAGACCACATGCACGCACGCACACACGCACAGTAGTTTAGCCCCTAATGATCAATTAGAGATAAGAGGCAGGGCTTTTAGTGCTAATGTAGGCAAGGTAGAGTAATCTGATGCCTTTAGCCTGATAACATTGTGCGTTTATGTGTGTTGGTCTGTGTGCATGAATGTGTGTGTGGTCTGAGAACAGCCATGGGCCGAAAAACAATAATAACAGCAAGAAAGCTCATGTAGATTAAAACTAAGGGACAGTAAGACCTGGCTTACTATAAATACGTATAAACTAGTTGCATCTTTCAAAGAGGATTCAAGAGTCTAAAATAGATTCCAGTATTCAAGCACGATGTCTGTACATTAGCTTGATTTTTTTAATTCATACATGTTTCTCTCTGTTCTAAGTTAATATTTCTTCCAAAGGGAAGCTAGCTGCACAGTCAGAAACATATGATGCAGCCTTTAACATTTTAATGGTGGAAGAAAATATGATTCAGTGTTGGCATACCAAATGTGTGATGTTGAAGAAATACTGACAAAAAAGAAGGGTGGAGAAGTGAATCCAGAAGCTCTGTGCTCTCTGAGACAATGAAGTGAACCGGAGTGAACCAGAGAGTGTTTTCTAAGCTAATACAATCCTACACCATATTGATCTGAGGTGAGCCACAGTGGCTCCTGCTGAACTGAGGTTCATGGTTTCTAAATCACATCAACATGATTGAGTTATGGGTATAACAGAAACATTAAGCAAGAGAGCTGCTTAATGCAGCATCTGAGGGCACATCTGGCTATCATCAATCACACACACTGAGTGCTTGCTGGGAGTTAATATTTGGGTAAAAAATACAACCAATAATGATTGTTATTGCTTTTTAATGATGAAACACCACATCACTTAAGCTTCTCATTCTTTCCAGAAGATTCATGTTCTTGCTACTTACAAACTCTGTCTGGGATTTTGTGTAAGCTGCAATGGATCTAATAGCCTTTTTTATTAATTTCATTTTTAATTTCATTTGATTCATTTGTAAGAAAGAAAAAGAAGTTTGGGGCAAACAGAATTGTTGGTACTAAACACTGCGAACAGATTGCTGACAAACAGAGGCAGTTGCTGCCCTCCGGTGGCCATCAGAGCGCATTACTGAGAGTCAAGCATCACTAAGGCAGCAACAAGATCCTTTTCTTTGAACATGGGACTGAGCTTAAAGTTTATTTCAACTTGGTGTATTTAAAAAGTGCATGACTATTGTAACCCAACAGCTCATGGTAACTTTTTACACTAACGTGATTTCTACATGAAATCATAGATATGGTTCCTAAGGGAATCTTCAGCCGCAACTTTACAAATGTTTACAGTTACAACTAATGTTGCCTTTTTTTTTATAAATCAGTTCATTTATTATTAAAATTAAAACGTATTGACAAGGAAATGTGTTATTATACTTTTAAAAAAACATAATCTATAACCATTGATTTAAAAATGTTTTTTTCTTAATCCACAAAATACATTTTGCAGAATTGTACTAAATCCTCAACTGTCTTTACTTTTAATGTCCTCTTGAGTGATATGCTCAGGCAATATTGGAATTGTTAATCTGCTCTTGTGTGACCTGACACTCACTCAAAAGTTCTCAATAGTTAAGAGACAGAGCACCTCAAGTCTTTTTATACTTTACGTCACTCTTAATGTAATACTGAAGTAGAGGGAGCCATTCAATACACAAACATAACAACAGAGACGCCTCAGTGAAAGCTCTGACCTGCAACTGTTTTGCTATATTTCTACTGCTATATTGTATATTTTGGAGAAACTGTAACAATCGAATTTCCCTCTGGGATTAATAAAGTATTTCTGATTCTGATTCTGAAATCGAGGACCTTAGTGGGAGTGGCCTGCAGTGCTGTGCATTCTGGGATTTGGTGTCTTTCATCCACATGAGCCAAAAAGACACTTTCTGCCTTTTCTCGGCCAAGAAGGCACCAACTTCATAATGTATTTCACATTTTTACTACATATATGACTCAATGTCAATACAGATTCATGTTTCAACGGACGAAGTATCCCTTTAAGGTAGAATCGCATTTAAAAAAAAAAGATTTGATTTCATTGATCACATCTGGATACTGGCACATATGTTAGCAATACTTACATTGTATTGTGAATCTGTATGTTGGATTGCATTATCATCAAAGTCATCCATGTCCATAGAGGTTGTGTCTGTCTGCAAACAGAGGGCACAGCAAACATGCAGCATTCAACAAGGCATCCATGCATTTAGCATGCTTCAGCTATCAATCTGAATAAGTACAACTGGCATGCAGGACTCAAGGTTAGTTTGTCAATTGTTACTCAACAACATCATATTTGTATTGCACATATGAATATCCCTTAGTCCCTGCTTCACTCTGTGACAGTTTCATTATCTCTGCTCTCTGCTCAGGTAATGAAACAGCATTACGCTTTTAAAAGTCAAATGGTTAAAGAGTGAGATGAGTATACTTCCTGCTAAATTCAACCATCTGACAAAAAACAGAAAATATAAACAGTAAAAGAGCTGAAGTCTTACTTTGTTTTTCCTCCTGCTGAACTGGAAGATACCCAGGAGGCCTTTCTTTTCTGCTTTGCCCAAACTGGTGGTACTGGAGCAGATGGAGTCTAAAGAAGACAGCAAGGAGAAGGAAGAGGAGACAGATGTATTATAGAGTCTGTGAAAAGCAAATGAGGAATTCAGTAGTGATAGAGACAATTCATCCTTGTATGCAGGGGTTAATTAGGTTAAAAACAAAATACAGTGTTGGATTGATTTTAAAGGAGAAATATGTTAGATATCTTCTGAATTCATTCATAAAATGACCTCACTATATCATCAGACATTGAGGAAGCATGCTTTGCTGAAGTGCTGTCTTCTCTGACAACAGTGCAGCAGCCACTATGTCCTCCTCCTAAGTTCAGATTTGTGTCAAGAATGGTTTGTTTTTTCCAGAGAAGGCAGTTTTAAGGCACCATCACACAGCCGTTTTTTTTTTTTTTTTTTTTTAAACAGGTGTTGCAGCGACCAGAGCGGGAAATCAAACTGGTTAAGATACAACTGATTCTACCCGACATAAAAAGCCTGGGAACATTCTAATAAGCCCCATGACCAGAAACGTGGTAAAACTAGGATACATATTGGAGATGCTTTTAAAAAAGAGAGGTTATGATGCAGAAAGGTTTAAAGATTGATGCAGGGCTGGCTAAACACTGAAGCTTCAGTGTCCGTCACATGGCAACCTGTGAGCACATAAACTCTAGGGAGGAAGGAGAAAGCTCTCTTCAGTGTTTTAAATTTGGACTGCGGTAACAATTTTAAACTCTATGTGGCAGAGTTACATATTGCTCCTTTAAGGTAGATTTACTTTCTATCTGAGTCATTCAATTGACTTGATGAACAGACATAAAATGTTATGTCCATGTCTGTTAACTTTCTAGAAATTAGTAGTTGTATAAATGTGCGTCACCATTTTAACAGTACTGAGTTTTCTCAGCAGAGGGCGCTAAAGCTTTATTTTTCTCAAAGACACCCTCTGCTACAAAGTAAAGGCACAACTTAAATAAAAAAAACTCAGAGCTATACTATCACTTCAGCTGGATTTAAAAATAGCTGGAGAACAGAAGGTTAGTAACAGATCATAATTGAGGATGTTAACATGAGTTTCAAAATTAAAATGAACAAAACAAGCGGATCAACACACCGACATGCTCGTCCAATACAGTTAAGCAGGGTTAATAAGCAGACAGCAGCACGTTGGGTTATTCAGCTTCATTTTTTAAAAACCAGTAACACTTAAGACAAACAAGAATTATTGTGACTTATACCTGAGTAGTATAGAGCGGGGGCTGAAGCCATTTTAGGCTGGAGAACTGGAAAATATCACAAGGTATAAAAAATGTGAATCAACTGAATGCTTACTGACTTTCATTATCCATTTTATTTTCACCACTGGAAAACCAACACAGATGGTTTGATTAAACTCCAAGGAGACAATTTATGACAAAACAAACTAAATGCTTTTTGATTTTTTTTATAACCTGTCCTTTATGAGTCCCAGAAAGGTTGAATATTAAATTAGAACCACGACATAAAAGCTTTTGACCATAAAAATGACATAGCGTTTTAAATGCTCCTACCTCTATTTCTCATGACCACAAAACACAAGCTCTCCTCTGAGAGCACACCCCATGACAAGAGCAATAACTATAAATAGCAGTGGGTGTGTACTGTAACTACGGTAATGAGCCATAATATCAGATTTTTGACCATAATTCAGCTTCCCACTCTAGATAAAGCATGACGATTGTACTTTAAGAGAAGATGTGTACAGTATTGTCAAAGGCTTATTTAGATGTACTTTAAGAGAAAATGTGTACAGTATTGTCAAAGGCTTATTTAGACGAACAACAGAAACACAAACTGGTATTTTGTTTATGCTCTGTAGCTCTGTAGTGAGGCTGGTATATTGACTCAGACTGCATAAAACTACATGTCAGTAAATATCTACATACAAGTCATGCATTACTGGAGAATATGATGTAATGTTGGTTTTGTGGCCCATTGGATCTGAAGCATTATAATGAGCTGCTTTGAAGTTTTTGTATCCAATCCATACTTTGTTCAGTTTCCTGTTAAGGAACACTGTCTTTTGTTTTACTTGTTTTCTTATCTTTCAATCTGGTCGAAGAGGGAACAGGCTATAAAACCTCATGAATGTTAAACTTCATGTTCCAATAGGTAAATACACATGTATCTTATACTCTATGATAAAATAAGAGGGCAGCCTCAGGGCAGGTTAAATCTCAGGAAGGCAGGGATGCAGTCTCAGTACATCTGACACACCATCGCCGTTTTCCGCCCTATAGTTTCAATAAGCAACTGAAACATTTTTCCTCTACTTTTGATAAAGAGCAACCACTTGTTTAATATTTTTAGGATATAATTGTTTCAATTTGTAGTAAAATTAAAACCTATAAAAGAGAAAATGTGTATCTTTCCAAAAGTATCTCCATGTGTGCATCTTGTTTAAATAAGCATCCATACATCCATACATCAAATTTAATTATAACATTTGCCACAGTCATTTCTTTGTGGATATTAATATGAAGGCTGACAGCAGATAGTATGTGACCATGTTTGTACAAGCCCAGGCACATATCAGTATCTCTGATAGCTTTGTTTACTTCTTCTTTAATTAGCTTTATTACAAAAGCCACAACTTTCACACAGAATAAACTCAAGTATTCTTCTTATTCATTGAATTCAACAAGGTTAATGTATCCAAATCTATCTGTATATATCGTTCCTCAAGCAATAATACATTTTCTAAAAAAGATCACTACATTTTTAGAACATCAGCAGAATAAAGCAGTCAGGGTTTACCTAGACTCTGATCGTGTACGTAGAGCTCCTTGATTCCCAGTTCTGTCAGAGATTTGTCCAGAGGCAATTCGTGGCGACTGAGATTATCCTTTAAAAGCAGGACATGTGCCGGGTCAAACTCACACTTGTCACAGATGACTGGTATCAGAGCCTGGAGTGCTACCAACGGGTTGACCCGCACCACTGCCTTTTGGCTGCCGTGGTAGTTCACCATCAAACGCACTGTTTTCTGATGCAGAGAGGGAACAATGGTGGAAACAAATTAGCATTTTTTTTTTTTACACTGAGGGAGATAAAACACGGTGTAGTACCAACAATGTGTACACAGCTGTGGATACTGATGAAATATATATATACAGTGTATATATATATATCATCAATGCAGTAAACCAGTAGGAGACCATGCTAGATCACTATATCATGCAAAGAGGAAAAAAGTTAGACCTGTAAAAAAAGACAAGAAAAGTCAATGACTGAAAAAAAGATTCACCATCATCATACCCATACCAAACCTTAAAAAGAAATTACTAATGGAAGTGTATGTCATCTAAATGAGTTGATGGTTATGTTTTTTCACAACACAGGAGCAATGATTGTGAATGAATGGACGAAGGTCAACTGAAGAACTGTGTTTGATTTTCTTATAGCGTCACAACAAGCGTGTGGAATGTAAACTATGGGGGCAGCAGAGGAGCTGAATGAATCTCAACAATGAGTGACTTCAGGTTAAACTTTGGTTGCTGACAGCAGAAGGAACATTTTAATAGACTGAACATGAGTATTCCAGTGTGTACATAATGTACAAGCATGTGATCTTGGAAATCTATATGGAGGTTGTTATAACTAACTACAACATTACATAGTGTTCTGTTGTTGAGAACAGCTAGCAGACTGTAGAGATTTCTTTATCATTAAGTGGTTCACATCAGCCTCTATAAAAACACACACCCCACTCAGAAGTCAAGAACTGAAGAATTAAAAAAATGGCTCCTCAGCTGGTGGCTCTCAAGGGTCTTTGGAATTTTGAATAGAGTGACATTAGATATTACGCTAAAACATGTTTCTGCATTTTGTCACCCTTGATGTCATTTTAGACTGGAAGTACAATGAAAAGAAAGGTTTAACACAGAAGAGCGATGACTCATAGCAATGTTTGCAATAGTGTCGGTGCCTGGCCTGGGGCCAGGCAGGCCAAAGGGAGAGAGAGCAGCCAGTGAGCCCCGAGAGGAGCAGAGAAATAATGCATGGTAACTAAAGGTAAGGCACTCATCAAATATTCAAACTGTAGGAGGAGAACAGAGGAGAGGCAGAGAAAAGAGGAGACACAAAGGGACAAATGCTTAGTAGAAAGAAGTTCAAATAGGCAAGTGAGCTGTAAAAAGAGATGACAACAAGTCAAAGAGGAATACAGGTGATGAAGACAAGGAGGAACACTCAGACTGTAAACCAAGTGTGACAGAACTGACTCCAATGTCATGCTAGGGCAGTCTTATTTCCAACTGGCTTCCTACCTTTGAATTGGCCCTTAAAGGTTTCACTGGCCTTGCTTTCTGCCAGCGGTCACAGGTAAAAAAGTTAAAGAGGGGAGGGATGGATAATATACGGAGGGACATGTTTAGAACCACTGCATCATGCTATGTTAATGGATCTTGATTATCAGGATCACACCAGTCTACATTAAGAGAAAACAAGGATAGCTCTGAGATATTTCTTAAATCATTGTAATCTGGGAACTCTTACCATTAAATTACCTGTCTCTGTAATCTAACCTGTTTTAAATAAGCTGTTTCAAGCTTAAAAACAAAAAACAAAACGGAAAGCACACATGCCAAAAAGGGCATCCACATCACAGTATCCGCCGGTTACTCACTTCTGGCACTTTGGGAGCTGGTCTGCGCACCACCTTCTCCTCCCACACTTTCTCCTTGATGAGGACGCAGGCCACGTTGAGGGAGCCCAGTAGTGCGTTGGGCTTGAACCCCAAAGTGTGGCCCTCAGCCGACAACAGTTCCAGGGTGTGCAGCGCTGGGTTCAGGTGGTAGCGGCTACACAGCTCGACCAGCAGGTCCATCAGAGCCTTACTGCAAGAGCAAGGAAAAGAGAGAAAGGGGTGAGAGAGAAAGTGGTAGAGAGAGGGGAGGAGTGGGGAAGAGAGTTTTGAAGAAAGGACCAGGGGAGGAGAAGGGGAGTAAGGGAGTAATAAAGGGAGGTAGGAGAGACGATAGGGTTACAAAGCCTACCTCGCTTTAGCATTTGTGCAGAGAATAGTAATTACGTCATGCAACGAAACATTTAAACTTGAAACAATTAGAACAGCTAGCTGATAGCTTACTGTTATAACTATATAGGAATCTAATTTACTCACCTGGCTGTTATCACAGACACACTGTAGGTTGAATAGTAATGGCACTGATTTTGACAGGAACAGAAACAGCTTTGTAGCTGTTTCAAGAACATGTAAAACAAAAGTCTGAAAACCAACACCAAGAAGAATGTTCTTGATGTTCTAGAGAACCTCATGTAACACATTTACATTGAATCTGTATTTAAATGTATGTTTATCTTGACAGAAACTCTCCAAGAGCCACAAACGAACAAAGGCAGATAGATGAGAGATAGTGGCTTAGAGAACTTATAAAAGGCAAACTATGGGGTAGTGTCGTTATGACAAACTACTTATGTCCATCCACCCACAATAAGGCTCTGCAGTCGGCTTTGTGTGTGTGTGTGTGTGTGTGTGTGTGTGTGTGTGTGTGTGTGTGTGTGTGTGTGTGTGTGTGTGTGTGTGTGTGTGTGTGTGTGTGTGTGTGTGTGTGTGTGTGTGTGTGTGTGTGTGTGTGTGTGGGGGGGGGTGCTACAGTACTACCTGTCAATCCTGGTATAAAGAAACCAAGAGACAGTCTCCAATGTTTTCTGGGAACAGCCAGATCAGATGACAGGACTGAGAGAGAGACACAGCTACAAAGGACACCATTGACAATCAGCATCACCAAGGACACTGTCTACAACTTAAAAACAACAATCTGCACTCGACAGAACGAGTGTCCTCCTGCGTGAGCTTTAGGATCGAAATGTATCAACAACATCCCACTGCACATGCACCATCAGAAACTAATTAAGGAACTATTTTTTAATTATATTTAGCATGTTTATGAGTTACAGTTCAGTACTTCCCTTCTCATTTGTGATTTTGTTTTACAGGAATGTTATGAAGTCAAGTACTGTTCATTACCTGTAGCTCACTTCAGACATCTTTAACATCATGACATGTTGTATCAAAGGCACAGATGTTTGAGGTTATTCATTAGGAGTCTTTATAAAACCTTTCACTGGATGTGATTGTGCAATAATAAAAGGGCTACTCTGGTGTGAATGTGAATGTAAAAATAGAGTTTATATTGCCAGATAAACAATACTGTACATGGAACAATTGAAGCACTTTCTGACTGATTTTTTTTTTCCCGATTTCATTTTTGATGCTCAATTTAATTAATTTGTGTTTTTAATCAACATTTTACTGATGCTAAAATGGGTTAATTAATGCTGAACAGAATTTACATTTTTACTGTAACTTCTTGGCGCTCAATTGAACATTATAATAATAATTACATTTCGGCTAACTGTACATTTAATGGGCTTGTTTTGATTGCATTACAAGTGTTGCGAAAGGGATGATCGGTTTTGGCACACAGAAAGCTTAAAGGAGACTTGAGACTGGGTCTGAGGTACCATCAGGTTTCTCTAGAAGTCACAACAGATAAAATGTTTATCCCGTCTAATTTCTGTTTTGAAATGTTTGAAAGAGTTCTTATTCTTATGTTTAATTGTGTATAAACTCATCTGACATCTACCAGTACTTCAAAAGTTATCAGTTTCTTTTTCTTTGCCTCAAAGGAGTACAGGCTAAGTACCACTTGGGAGAAAAAAAAGGTTTAGAGTGTAAAGAATAATATAATATAATATTGGTGGAATCAGATTATCAGGTAAGCATAAATTCTACAAATATCCTACAAATATGTCCCTTTTTTAAATAAGAGAAAATAATCTGTTAATGAAACCTCAGCCTTCTCTCAGATTGACTGTATGAGCTGTCAAAACCATTCTCTCTTTTTCTTATTGATCAGAGTCCAAAGCTGGACTGTAAGCACAGCTAAAAGCTTAAATGTAATACCATACAAACTATCTTTTTTTTAATTTTATTTTTTACTAACGGTATATACAATAACGGGAATAAGACCTTAATAGGCCTTCACAACATGATTGAATGATTTTTTTATTTCATTTTCGTCGGATAATTAAAGCTCTCCAGAGACTCCTACAGGCTGGTTTGTCTTTTAAAGGAGCACCTTGTTGTTCTGTACTCCAGAGGCATCTCTGATTGTCTGAGAACCTCATTAGGGAGGGGGATCATTAGCAGGTCAGCCTTCATCTGTCAGCTCTCTCAGACAAAGCTTGTGCTGAGACAGAGAATGGGACCCCCTTTACATGGGCCCACTGGCACAGCAACCCAAACAGAGAGAGAAGCAACAAACAGGTCTCATACTGTTTGTCTGGTAAATGAGGTCAGAACATAAAATCATGCTGCTGAGCTAAGCCATAGATAAGATTCACATAGTTAAATGAATGGAATTTCTGCAGGCAAACTTTTCTTAATCAGTATCCAGAGCAAAACGTGACACTTTACAGCCACTCTTAAGGTAGAACGAGGCATTGGCACACTGCACAAAGCCTTTTTAAAGGGAGTTAATGTGATTTTGTCTCCTCACCTTCCATCCTCAGTCACAGAAGTCTGGTATCCCTGTGGGAGTGTTAGCAGTAGATCCACAGTGGGCCTCAGCATGTTCTCCTTGGCATCTTTACCTGACGTCCCTCCCCCATCAGGTACAGCATTCCTGAAGATGTTGCGTGGCGCGGGCTGAGGGGCTTGCGGTGGAGGTGGAGGGGCACGTGCCTTCATTTTCCTCCTAAGATTTGACAATGACAGGAAGGGGAATATATATTTAGTTGTTCTATTCTCGTTTCTTACATTGATCTCAGTTTGTCTTTTTAGGACTTGCACAAAGTGTTCAGAAATAATCAGGCATTAGTTTCACATCAGGACGCATGAGGCTGATAAAAGAAACATGTCCAACTCCACTGTGTTAGATAAAGAGTCTTCAATCTAATGTTAGTTATATCACATACTGATACACTAAATTTAGTATTACAACAAATTATGACGTGAATGTTTGTTCCTCTGACGGATTTGTATTTTCTTTTAACTCAGTCTTAGAAAGCACAGCCTACTGAACACAACCCACTGCCTCAATCTCAGGTACCCTCTCTGAATGCTAATGAATGTCTCTGTCTCTGTTTGTGACACGGCCCTTTATCTCCCCCCTTAGATTACATAACTAACTCAGATATGCTGAGAGGACCCGTTTTGTCAACATGATCCAGCCCTGAGCGGCTGCCTATTCCATCTGTTCCTGACACTCCTCTGAGTAGTTCATAATATCTTAATAATAATAATTCCCTTTTATGATCTCCCTCTGAGGCACTCTTACTCACACTCTAGAAATACAGTGGCACAAAGTAAATGTTCCCTAAAGTTTTCTAAAGGAATGAATTTAAAACCTTACTTTTACACAAACAACTTCCATCGTTAAATCTTATTTCATGCATGAATATTTCATTAAGATATGCTCAGACAAAGTGATCAAAAGCAATGCTTAAATGTAAATGTTAGGTTGGAACAGTTGTGTTTAAACAAAATCTGATAAATTGGATATAAGCACTGTAGTACAACAGTTTCAGTCACATCAACACATTTTAAAGCAGTAATATTTTAGTTCTAAAGGTTTTTGATTGGCTTCAGGGGTTTTCTGTAAATGATTGAGTGTTCTGTCAACAGCTGTATGAAACCTATAAAAAAGGAGATAATGCACGCCATCTTTAAAGCACAGATCTTAAGGGTAGGGAAAGTGGCAGATGTCAATGACATGCTGGTGTAGCGACGAGATGCTGTTTACAGCACATTTGACCTCAGCTCAGTGTAAACTGTACTTAGTGAGGCGGAGACAGCAGATTAGACAGAAATCAAACATTTCACTCTGCTAACAATGATGAATGTGAACTCTATGCCACCCATTTCAGCACCTATTCTTTCTCTGTCTTAACAGTACAAATATTAGCCTTAGATAACAAAAGAGAAAACATCCAACTCACGTCAAAAACAGTCCTTGTGTTGATTAACTGTTCCAAAAGAGCGACTGTTTATGAATCCAGCTCCAAGCTTTAGACACACTCAGACACAATGTGTGTGTATAATCCTGTATCCGTCAAAGTACTCCTGCCTGGCATAAAGGCGAAAAGAGCACAACGAAAAGAAAGAATGCACGTGATCATAGCACACAGAGTGGACTCTAACCTAGCTGAAGTTAACCTTTAACAGCTGCATCGGATATCAACTCACTCTCACCGACAAGATCTATAGTGTCATTGACTCATTGTGCAATGTTGATAGTGTTTTAATGGGCACATATGGGAGTGACAGACTTAAAGTTTGACAGCATTAGTCAGACTAGGAAAGTAAACAGCAGATCATTCTGCATTTTAAAACATACCCTTACTCACAAGAAATAAAGAATTTCTTTTTTTTTTTGTAGCAGAGAGTTTTAAAGGCGGGAGGTTTTTCTGTTGAGTCTGTGTTTTGAAGGTAAACAGAAGTGGGCTCTGTGGAGCTGTGGGACTGGGCCCCGGCCAGGTTTAACACAGTCATCCAGTATCTCTCTCCGCCTCTCGCTCTTACCATAACGTTTCCCTCTCTCTCTCACTTTCCCTCTCTTTTACATGCACAAAGACTCCTTTAGGAAAAGCCTCGTCTCCCACAGAGCTAGAATGGGCAAGCATGAACACAGAAAGAGAGAGAGAGCGAGAGAGAGTAAGGAAGAGCAGGAAACCCAGCTCCGGCACAGGAGGGCAGTAAGTGCTGAGCTGATACAGGGACTGAGTTACAAACGGGCTCATACACACACATAGCCACTAAAAAGGTTACTAATGGACCTTTCGGAACCACTCCGTTCTTTTCACTTGACTAAACAGTATTTAAAAGGATATATTTATTTCACTATCCTTCATTTAATGTGTTCTTTTTAGCAGGGGAGGTTGTTTGTTTAGACCTGAGGTGAAAACAGTTAGAAATGTTTTTTCAAGTAAAATTCAAAAAACAAACAAGACACTGACTGAAATCTTCTCGAACTGCCAAAGACACTAAAGACTCCTGTGGTCTGTGGTCAAATCATTCAAAACAACATGTGAGCGGCCTCAAATGGAAAAAACAAAGTGAGCACAGTCTGGCTAGTGATTATATGAGAGGGGTTAGACTTTGGTGCTTACCAAACAAGGCTGGAGTCTAAACAAAAGTTTTGGCATAATAAAGTCATGTATGATTGACAGAAACATCATCTATAACAGGACATATTCTATTTAACACTGCATAAACAGAGAAATAATCTTAATATGTCATACTGAATACTAACTTGAAACTAATACTAATCTAAGGGTGGACTAACTCTTATGACCTTAGCTTGGCAATACAAGAATAGTTATACAGAAGTCTACACAGTACCATCACTCTTCCTATGTTACTGTCTCTGTGCTTGCCCCTGTGCCAGATTATCTCAGGGTTTGCATATGTGTGTAGGTATGGAAATGTATTAACAGTGTGTGCTGTGCATAACAGACAGTGTGTCAGGCTTTATCTCCTCCCTGACCCAAATACAACCCCGCTCATTCACAATCAAGGCGCCAGGAATAATCGAGCCTTTGAGTGCTACAGAGTTTGTGTTAATGTGGGGTTTCTGATGCGCATACAGATACCTGTGTGCAAATGTTTAATCGCACAGATCTATGTATACTGATAAAATATGGAAAACATGTTTTGAAAAAGATGTCAAAGGTTGATTTCAGAATTTAGGGAGGGGGGAATCATTTGCACTTTGAATTATGCATAACTGCAAACTCACTAACAATGTGTGTACAATGTAAAACCATTCAAAGTTCAAGTCTGATTTATTTTTGCTAGATGAGAAGTTAAATTATATACTGCAGCACAGCTGGGACACAGTGGAGGGTTTTTTGGTAGGGAAAGAAGTAACTGTCAGTGACTGTATTCATCCCAGCCATGGAAACTCAAAAGTTCCCACTCAGCAAAGTCTTGTAAAAATAATGGAACAAATTCGTTTTTCTCTAAAGTGGGCTCTGCCAGCAGACACTCCACCAAAATCCACTTAGAAATGTTCAGTATGTTCAGTTTCTGTTTTGTCTTTTTCTGCACAAAGTCCTCATCTCTTTTTGTGTATTCAAAATAAACATAAATGAAAAACTACAGTTTGTGCTTTTATGATGTTTTACTCCCTTCCTTGAAGTTTGCACCAGTCATATGGATTGTCAGTCTGCTGAAACCTTCAGTGCAACGATACAGAAGGCTAGTTGTGACCGCGTGAGAAAAACTAGGACAGACAGACTGGTCAACTAATAAAGTCTGCTGTTGATGTAAGTAAATCAAACTTTTATTTCAGGCAGCAGGTAGAGCCAAACAATCATTTGATCATTAAGAAAGAGTCACTAAGGTACACAGACGGCCAGATGTGTCCTCAAGTTAGAGACAGGACATCATGTTTATTAAGCATCAGACAATGGGATCTTTAAAACAATGAGCTACTATCCTCTAATGAAGACATTCAACTGGGAATGGAGCAGATTAATTAGCTGAAAATAGAGGGCTGACTGACCTCAAATCATTGAGACAAACTTTATGCATTGTGAGAACACAAATAATGTCTGAAACAAAGCTCTGTGCACAATAATGAGTGGTTTAACAGACAAATGTCACAAATTGTATCATTTATTTGTTAACATAAACAGTTTAAAAGACATAAGACTAAAAAAACAATACCAAAGGATGTCTGCAGTAGACACACAAACACACAAACAAGCCACATTACCAGCTTTTTCTCTATGGTAGGATAATATACTGACAAACTCATTCAAAGCTATTTCATCAAAGCAGTTTCTTGCAGTGTGTTTCTATTTCAAGACAAAATCTTCATCAAACTTATTATTATCAATATTCGTTATATAAATATGAATTAAACATTTTTTGGTCTGCCTTTCTTTTTTGTTACTTCTAAAAAATGTGAAAATGTGAGAAAACATCATTGTCCCAGACAAAATTCCCAACTTCAAATTAGGGCCCGACCGATATGAGATTTTTGGGGCCAATACCGATATCTATATTGGGAAGAAAAACAGTCAGATACCGATATACTAGCCGATATCTTTCAAAGATATATGAAATCAGTATACTAGTTATATACTAGCCGATATTGTTATATACTAGCCGATATCTTTCTAAGATATATGAAATCAGTATACTTGTTATATACTAGCCGATATTGTTATATACTAGCCGATATCTTTCTAAGATATATGAAATCATTAGAAATAGATAGATATAAATATACACAATGACTGCGCTGATCCCTTAAATGTGGAAAAGATAATGTAGACGAGACGGTCACTCAAATGGAAAATAACTGTGCAAGTACGTGCATAACCGCTTGACACATTGGAGAGTGATAATGCTTGTTGTAATCCATATAGCACACTCTGCTGGTGAAAGAGAACTGCTAGTTTATTTTATACAATCAACCTCAAATTAAATGTTATTTGACTTGTAAACAAATCTATTAATATCGGCGCATTTGTGATATAATATGAGCCAATACCGATAGTCACTTGGTAAACTAAAAATGGCGATATTATCGGCTGGCTGCTTAATCGGTCAAGCTCTACTTCAAATTGTTACCAACTGTGGTAAAATGTGAAACCTGCCAAACTGATATCAAATATGTAAGCATCTCTCATGCTTGAGAGCTACTTAAAGGACACACCCTCCCACCTTCATGTAAGCACATACACA